TAGGGGCTCCTGGCCGTACTACTAGGAGCAAGAAGCTACTAGGGGCTCCTGGCCGTACTACTAGGAGCAATGTTCGCTACTAGGAACAAGGCGTCCTGGCCGACGCTTCTACTTGTGTTCCTCGAAGCCGAGGACGCCGAAGACGCGAAGCTGGGCTCGGTGACCTTGGTCGAGGTTGGAGTCCGCATTCTTTTTGGTTTTACTCTAGACAAACAATGACAAACATAGTCATGTCAACAAACAGTCCACTTTGCCAAAGACTTGCGAAATTATTGGGTTGGAGGCCATCGCTCTTAGGTTGGAGGCCATCCCTAGTACAATGTATTTGTATTTACATTTCTATACCTGAATCAAAGCTGGCAGGTCCCTGGGCGTGCCAATGACATTGAAGAAGCAGTGGCCACTTGGAGCTGTTGAAGACTGATTGCTTTGCAGTTACGACTTCACCTTGTCTTAACTGTGGTAACCCAGTTTTTGCATGCTTTCTGCCATCCAATCTGCCCCGAGCTAGCACGGTTGCGAAGAGAAGCGTATTTGAAGCGCTCAGGTTCTAAGCGTCTTAGCGTCCTTGCTCCGTTCGTAGCGATGCCCTTTGCTCCTAGTAGCGTCCTTGCTCCTAGTAGTAAGGCCAGGAGCCCCTAGTAGCATCCTTTCCATGTTGCGTTGTTGGCCACTTTCAGAATAGCTCAGGCAGCAGTCGGTGGGCCGAAGGCGGTCACTGACGCCATTGTCAACAAGGGCAAGTGCGCCAACGATCGTCACCAACCTTGCGGTGTTTGCGTCACATCGCGGTTTTGGAACGGAACGGTGTGACACGTTTTTGCCGGTTCATTGATGTTCATCGATCATTTTTGGGTGAGAAGACTTCATTTTGACTTCTCGGTTCATCAGTGTCAAGGATCCCACTTCATTTCACGCATTTCATTTCTCTGATCTCAAGCACAGTTCGGGACAGGCTTCGCCTTCGACTTTGTCGGAGATACCAGTTCCAGGCTCTCCCCCGCCGATGTTGATGATGGTCGAAGCCGATGTCGCTTCTGTTCGTCGACGTAGGTTGAAGGCCATCGCTACTAGGAGCAAGGACGCTACTAGGAGCAAAGGCCATCGCTATTGATTCATTTCTTGAGCACGTCAAGACGACTGACCGGTGGGCCTCAGGCACCTCTGCCCATGAAACGACACAGGACGCGAGCGGCCCAGAAGAGTTGCACACTGACACACAATGCAACGCTTTGAGCCCTTTTGTATTTGGCCTTTTGATGCCTTTTCTATTTGTACGGTGTTTTATATTAGAGTCAAGAGTCAAGTCAAGGATATTATTCTCATGGTCAAAGCATTGGAGACGGTCAGCTGTGGAACTTAGGTCAGACCTTCTAGTCAAAGCTCGCAAGAAAGAAGATGGCACATGGGACCGGCCAGAATGGGTCGGGAGCTGTGTTGAGTTTGTTTTCAGCTGGTGGTTGAGGTGGTCAGAAAGAAGCCAAACCTTTGAGGTCCATTGCTATTAGGTTGGAGGCCATCGCTAGTAAGGGTCTGGGCCTAGTAGGTTGGAGGCCATCGCTCTTGGGATTGGAGGCCATCGCTAGTAGGTTGGAGGCCATCGCTCTTAGGTTGGACTAGTAGGTTGGAGGCCATTGCTGGTAGGTTGGAGGTTATAGTAGGTTGGAGGCGTTGGAGGCCATCGCTAGCAGGTTGGAGGCCATCCCTCTTACGTTGGAGGCCATGGCTCCTAGGTTGGAGGCCATTGCTCTGCTAGTAGGTTGCCAGGCAGTTGGTGATGGTGGGGGGTCATACTGCAGGACTATGAGGCCATCGCCTGGGTTCCGACCTCCTTCCGAACCGAGGCCGGTTGTTACTAGTAGCTTCTTGTTCCTAGTAGTAATGCCAGGAGCTACTAGTAGTAGCTTCTTTTTTGAAGAGATACAATACTCGAACAACAAGGACATGACCCACCCTGATTTCTGTATTTGGTGTTGGGCCGCATCTGGAGCTGCACGTGACGCAAAGAGTATCTTTCAATGCACAATTCGTCAGGTTATATGTTTTGCATATGTGATGTTGCCGGCACCATTGCCATGTTGAAATTGCTAGAAGATCGCTGTTAGAGTAAATCTCTTAACCTAGTGTCTAGTCTTTGGGAGTTTGAGGAGTAGGAGCTCGCGGATGTTTGGTGTCCATTTCCTCGCCGCTGAAAGTTTATAGACGAAGATTCTACAAGGCTGTGAAGTGAGTCCTGTGGCACCTTATTTGCCAGGTGTAGCTAGCGTTGAAAGAACGCACATGCGCCTGGGGCTCCTGTTTTTACTTGTCACAACAGCCCAGTGCTTGAGGGAGATGTACAGTTCTTTCTTTGGAAACCCGTTGTTGGAGAACTCTTCCATCCACCGAAGCGATGGCAAGCTGGCCGCATGCCTGTGTTGTGGCACCACATGTGCCGGTGGGCGCTGGTGCATGTGGCGCATATAGCGGAGCTGTCAGCCAAGGGCCTAGCTGGTCCATCCGAACAAATCTTCCGAAAGAACTTCTATATCCCCCAAAACAATGAAAAGGATCAAAGAACGAAACTGAACAAACATTCACAAAACACAGATCGTTTGATTGATTCCTTTCTATTCGGTTTGGAGGCCATCGCTCTTAGGTTGGAGGCCATCGTTAGGTTGGAGGCTATCAATTTTAGAGTTGGATTGGCCACCTCTTTTGATTGATTCCTTTCTTCAGCAGACTTTCTTTGACTCCATTCGGCTCGCCCAGGTAGCCCATTCGCCGTTGCGCCTCCGGCACCGCTCCCGGTGAGAGGGCTCAGTGACTCCCGTTCCAGACGGAATTCACGGGAAAGACCAAGCCGATGGAGGCCATCGCTATTAGGTTGGATGCAACTAGGAGCTCCTGGCATCGCTACGAACGGAGCAAAGGACGCCATTAGGTTGGCTCCAAACCCGTCGTTTCAGGTCTCACCCCGGAGTTCCCGGACCCTGCAGCGCTTGGCGGAGATGCTGGAGCGCCACCGCCACTTGGAGAGGGCCGGTGGTTGGAGGGTTTAGTGTCGAGAAGTGTGGAGTTTTTGAACGTTTCTATTTTACTTCCTCCGAGTCTTTTTTATTTATTTTTGTTGCAGATGGTTGAGGGATTCCTTTTTGGATGGCCGCGGACGGCTTTCGATGTGATCCCGTGGTCGATTTTGCGGAACATCCTGTGTTAGGTATGTTGCGAAGCACACTACACATCACAAGCATCATATCAAGTTGTCGGAACAGCACATCAGGGAATTGATATTGACAGAGATATGCTGCATGCGTTCATTTGCATTTGTGGAACTCACGAAAGGTCAAAGAAAGGGCAAAAGTAATAAGGGATTGGAGATGGAAGTGGAACAACTCACCAAGACATGAGGAACAGTGAAGGAGAGTTT